GAATGCCTCCCTTTTGACAAAGACTTGCTATCACTTGCTATAAAAGTGGCAGACCCTCTAAGTTCTCTCCTGTGGTGCAATCCACTCATGTACAGGTCTTAAGGCCCTACACTGCCTATGAGGTTTGGAGTTCAGGGAGCTGCATTGCTATGCTGATTGCTAAGCTGATACTCCTGCTAATACTTTTGTTTTTTGTTTTTTTTTTTTGCGGTACGCAGGCCTCTCACTGTTGCGGCCTCTCCCGTTGCGGAGCACAGGCTCCGGACGTGCAGGCTCAGCGGCCATGGCTCACGGGCCCAGCCGCTCCGCGGCACGTGGGATCCTCCCGGACCGGGGCACGAACCCGTGTCCCCTGCATCGGCAGGCGGACTCTCAACCACTGCGCCACCTGGGAAGCCCCCCTGCTAATACTTTTGTAGAGAGTAACAGGGTCCTTGCATCTGACCCAGAAGTTTATTTTTTTATCTTGTATCAACATCCATAGAACTTTATTGGTTAAATTATTAACCCATGTAGTTATTCTTGTGGGTATTCTCCTGCTTTTATGTCTCCTCCCCACTATCAAGTTTTAAGTAGGATAATATCCTAGCATCAAACCAAAAACCTACAGATAATATCTAAAACTAAATAAGGCAACAAGCTAGCCTCCAGATCACAGAGTATGAACTTCTGAGGAAAACAAATGACATAAACCAGATCTCTGTACTAACTGCAAGTGTGATAACTACTGCTTTTAAGGGAGTTCAGAGAGGGCTAAGGGTTTCTGGTGGCCCTGAGAGCTGGTGAACCTCAAAGTTACCAGCACACACTAAATGAAGAAGATACTAAGTTAATATGAACGCAGTAGCAGGACAAAACTCCACACTAAGGAGAAAGGAAAAAACAGTGAGAGCAGAATATAAATTGAACAGGACAGGCACAATAGGGGAAAAGCAAAGAAAACGTCTCCAAGTAAAATGGGAGTGCAGAGGAGAGCAAGCAGATTTCTAAAAGCTGAAGAATAATTTTTAACACATTATGAAAATAACTGAAACAGGTATTCTACAGCTGTGAATTAGAAAAGCATTCCTGAAATTACCCTGGAAGATTAAAAAGATAGAAGGTAGAAAGAGAAACATGAAAGATAGAAAAAGATCATGGTCAAAGCCACAAAGTTAAAAGAGAACAGTGAGCAAAAGAATAGAAACCTCTTTTTCTGCCTTTCCTATAGGAGTTGGACCTCAGAGTAATCAAATATTTGACATTGAGAGAGTTTTTATAGAAATATTTTGGCTAATACATATAGAAGAAATAAAAGGAAGGAATTAATAGTTAGGAAATGATTAACAGTGGCTGCTATTATCACAGGAGGAGAAAGCCAAAGAGACTTGGTGTACCTCCTTAAAGAAGTAGCATCCTCTATGATTTATTTCTTAAAAAACAACAACAAAAAAAACCTGGATCTAATCAAGACTCTGGCTCTAATGACAATTTATAGGAAATAAAGAAGACAGAAAAATATGAAGTGACCCACTGAAGATACAGTTGTCGAAATCCAGGTTTCAGAGATCTGATTTCTCAAACAAATAAATAACAAGATGGATAAAAAGGAGTGACAATGGTGAAGCCTATAGATTAAAAGAGACTTAAAGAGCTGTCAGCCAAGTGCAGTATATGAACTTATTTGGATTCCGATGTGAATAAATTTTTAGTACAAGTATCGAATGGATATCTGTTGATACTGAGGAATTTTTGTTAATTTGGGGAGAGTAATAATGGTATTCTGATTAAGTTTTAAGAGTCTTTATCTTTAAGAGATACATATTGAAATACTTACAGATGAAATATTATGCCTCTGTGTTGTTTCAAAATAATGGAGTGAGACTGTAAATGAAAGATTTCCCAGGACTCAATGAAGTTGGGTAGTTGATACATAGAGGTTCATTATAATAGTCTGTAATTTTATTTATGTTTGACATGTTCCCTGCTAAAAGATTAAAATGTCTTAAACACTAATATCAAATTTTGGAAATGTGCTGTAATTTTTTTCTATTTTAATTATTAATTTGCTTTAAATATTAAATTCACTTACAGCATAGTTGTAAAACTTACTTTGAAAATTATTTCATTAATAAATTCTTGGTAAAGAAAATTATAATAAAATCCTTCTTTAATGAATTAAATTTATTCTGTTTATTACCTTTATTCATATGATATGTGATAGAGCTAAAGATCATAGGGTAGCTAATTCTGAAGAAGGAATGTAACTTTAAACAATTAACCTCAATTTACATAATGGTCTTACTTGCATAGCTAATGGGTAGGGTTTGATCATAGGCCATTAACAGTCATTAAATAAGTGAATCTGTGTTAGAAATACTACATGGCTTTGTACTTCAGACTCAAGAAGCAAAGGTTAGTCATGACACAGACACAGAGAATGGACTTGAGGACACGGGGAGGGGGAAGGGTAAGCTGGGACCAAGTGAGAGAGTGGCATGGACATATATGCACTACCAAATGAAAAACAGATAGCTAGTGGGAAGCAGCCACATGGCACAGGGGGATCAGCTCGGTGCTCTGTGACCACCTAGAGGGGTGGGATAGGGAGGGTGGGAGGGAGATGCAAGAGGGAGGAGATATGGGGATATATGTATATGTAGAGCTGATTCAGTTTGTTATAAAGCAGAAACTAACACACCATTGTAAAGCAATTATACTCCAATAAAGATGTTAAAAAAAAAAAAAAAAAAAAAAAAAAAAAGATGTTTAAATAAAAAAAAAGTCAGTCATGAAATGTTATTGGGTTGGCCTAAAAGTTCATTCGGGTTTTTCCGTACGATCTTATGGAAAAACCCAAACGAACTTTTTGGCCAACCCGATAATAACAAATAGTCAAAGCATTAGTCATTAAACAAACTAACATTTAGCTTTCCGGCTTCACACATTTCTGAGAGGATAATTCATGAATTTGCTAACTGGTCTCACTGTGCAGGCATACTAGGGCACATGTAAGTATACATGGGTGTATTAGCTAAACTTTTATTAGCCTCAGATTTACATTTAAATTACAGTGAGAACTAGTTTACTATACTCACATATGAAACATCAATATGTCTTTATGCCTAGAAATCAGAGCTATTTCTTGAAAAATGCTAGGGTCTACAACTTCAATATTTGGCAAATTTTTTTTTCTAATTCTAGCTTTCTGTTTGTTTCAAAGAAAGATGACAAATGGTTTTCAATTAACCTTTACATTTATTTTTATTTGCAATAAGGTAGTTTACATTATGTAATTTAGAACTACTCTAACCTTTCAACTCTTGGTTTAGTCAATTTAATTTACAATTGTAAATTGTAAGCGTCCTCTATATTTTATAAAAATGTAATTGCTTGCAGTTTAAAGATTTTAAAAACTCAAATAACTGGTCTGGTATTTTTTTTTTTCTTTTTTTTTGCGGTACACGGGCCTCTTACTGTTGTGGCCTCTCCCGTTGTGGAGCGACGCGCAGGCTCAGCAGCCATGGCTCACGGGCCTAGCCACTCCGCGGCATGTGGGATCTTCCCGGACCGGGGCACGAACCCGTGTCCCCTGCGTCTGCAGGCGGTCTCTCAACAACTGCGCCACCAGGGAAGCCCTAGTCACTCTTTTTAAGATGCATTTTCCTCTGCTCTAAGAAAATACAAAGTACCAGAAGCCACACAATTCAGGAAATGTATGGTAATCCTGTGCCCCTTAACAATATACATTCCAAGGAGTTAGCCATAACTACCCAGTGTGATTAAGAGTAAGGTTTTCTACGTAACATACACCAATAATGATGGCATTCCAATAAGATTGTGCACAAAATTTGAAAACATTGTGTTATTACCTTGACATTTAAGAAGTATGAAGTCATTCTCTGCATTGTCATATATCAGATCTTAAAATGAATGGGTAGTCATCTTTGAGTATTAATGATCTTTCTACATTCTCCACTGAGGATTTTATTTAGACATATGCATTTCATTAGAAAATAAGTAAAAACACCATAAAATTCTTGTAAAATCCTTAAGTAATACAACTTACTTTTTGAAGGAACACGTAGGTTGGCAAGGACTACTTCCAGGGAATCAGCTTGGACTCGAAGTACATAGCTTGTCCTTGTCTCATAATCCAGAGGGGCATTCACATAGATTACACCCGTGATGTTATTAATTCCAAACTTATCTAGAATTAAAACACAATTCCTTGGTTACTCTCCTCACACTATAAGGGAAAATAATTCTCTTTAAAAAGCACTGTGATTTTAAAAACACATATAATAAGAGTTACAAATGCTGGCTTTGGAAACTCTGTTCCAGTTCCTGAAATTATCAACATCAGTGTTTCCCTAACGTATGTTTTGAAATTTAAGTTTTTTTGAGATCCTCCTGGAAATTGATGTTTCTATGGTCATTTAAATCTGAAACAATGAATACTATTTCCCTCACCGTAGATACACATAATCTTCTGCCATACTAAATGCTTCTAGAAATTTTGTTTTAAAGAAATCCACTTGTTTAAGCAATTATTTTATGACCTTATTGGATTATTATACTTTTTATGATTTAATGCATCTTATTATCCTGCAGATTTAGTGTTTTGCTAAGAATGTGAGAGGGAACAAACAGAACAAACAGATAATTTCATATGTTGATTATTTAGAAAATATTGTTTATTATTCTAAATATCTTAAAATATTTTGCCCTGAAGTCTATTTATTAAAATAAATTGGTCATATATATTTGAGTGAAGGGCAGGGCACACTGGCAACCTTTGTAATACCCCACCTCTTTCACTCTCTCTGTCTTTTCCTCACTTTGGTTTTCTCCACAGCATTTATCACTACCTAAACACGATATGTTTATTAGCTTAATAATTGTTTAAAAATTGTTACTATCTCCTCTTTTTTTTTTTTTTTTTTGCGGTACGCGGGCCTCTCACTGCTGTGGCCTCTCCTGTTGCGGAGCACAGGCTCCGGACACGCAGGCTCAGTGGCAATGGCTCACGGGCTCAGCCGCTCCATGGCATGTGGGATCCTCCCGGACTGGGGCACGAACCCGTGTCCCCTGCATCGGCAGGCAGACTCTCAACCACTGCGCCACCAGGGAAGCCCTATCTCCTCTTATTGGATTGATAAATTCTATGAGGGCAAGGATCTGTCTATTCTGTTCACTGCCCTATTCTAAGTAGTTAGAAGGTACTGAGTACATGATAGATGCTCAATAAATATTAGTTGAGTAAATTGATAAGCAAATGAATTGAATGTAAAAAGAATCATTGTGGTGGAGTGTGGGTAATAAGTAGAGCCACTTTGCTAACTTCAAGGAAGAGAACAGATAGAAAACATTATAAGAACAGATTCAGAAATCATAGCTTCAGTCAGATGTTGTAAGTTCAAGGAAAAAGGAAAGTCAGTAAGATTTGGAGAGGAGGCATAACAGCACAGGAGAAACAAAGAAAGACAATAAGAAAAGTACTACGTTGAGCACTTCCTTCAGGGACAATAATTTCCAGTAATGGTTGGTCACTGAAATACTTGAAAACAGCTTTTATAATTTCCTTGCAAACTGCTTTATAACATTAACATTCATTCATTTGTTTAATATTGAATATGCATGCGTTTTTTAAATGTATATTAACTGGGTTTTTAGTTAGTTAGTTAGTTTGTTTTTTTACCACCTACAACATGCCAGACCATTTAACTCATAAAAAGGGAAAACCAAAGGACAACTAACCTGTGGGTCATAGGTGAAACAAAGAATCAGTATGCTAATTAAAAACTGAGTTATGAACTTATCCCCACAGGTTAGCAAACCATTCCATTCTCAGTGAAAAGTGATGGTAGACAAAACTCAAATTATTTATTTACTTACAACTGTTGATTATATGTTTGATTTGACAGTTTGAGGACTCATACAAAAGGTACATGGCTTTTATCATGGATGTGGCTCTCTGGGCACTCACAGTTATTTCTGTTCCTAAAATTTCTTCAGGATTATTTAATGTATGACATGGGGTAAGGGCTGTGGATGGCACAGAACAGTAGCAAGAGACTATTGCAGGCTATGACCAAAAGCTGAAAGTATGCATTAATTTTGAACACGTTATTAAAATATCCCTAATTCAGGGGGAGGGGAACGCTTACAGAATTGGATATTGAGTATTCCCTAGGGAAAATAAGTAGCATTTGTCAATATAACTGGATTTTTAATCAGATTCAGCACACAGTTACATTTAAGTCAGACACATCTTACTAGAAAAATAGGGTAAAGAGTAATTAAATCTGAAATTTATTCCAAATCTAAGTTTATTGTTTTATGATGAAAACACAGACTAAACATATACTCACCCTCTTCATTTCCTGCAACAATGGAGTACACAATACTCTGATTGATGGCTGCAGCAGAAATTACACCAACCATAGTCCCTCTGGTTGCAAGTTCACTTACTGGAGGCGGTCTGCAGGTTTAGAGAAGATAATATATTTCTCTTGTCCATTTTGTCATGATGGAGTTTTGAATTTAATAATAGAATATGTTAGTTTTGTGTGTGTGTGTTTATTTGAATAATACTATTTTTTGAACTTTTCAACAAAGTAACACATTCAGACTCTAGCCCTAACAAACTATGTTCAAAATTATGCAAATGTTCTTTGTTAAGAATGTCTTGTCACCTGTATATTACTACTTTATTATCTGCCAAAAATTGTATAAAATTCATTTTACATGTCTCAACTTCTGGACAGAATGCAATAGGTAGATACAATTTGCTATCTCAAGTTACTAAAGAAAAATACTGCTTTTATGTTGGTAATATTAGCATATTTAAGCAAATGGCCTCCAGATATCACTTGCTAGGCTAGTCCTTACCCTGCTCTACTTTAAATTTTAACTGTACTAAACGTATTTGAACGGATGGCATCACAAAATTAATATTTATTTTGAATTCACTTATTTTACTTAACTGTAACCATATTATGCCCCCAGTACTGTGACCCCTAATTTTATTTATCTATTTATTTTTAAATTTTTATTGAATTATAGTTGATTTACAATGTTATGTTAATTTCTGCTGTACAGCAAAGTAACTCAGTTATACATACATAGTCTTTTTCATATTCTTTTCCATTATGGTTTATCACAGATATTGAATATAGTTTCCTGTGCTATGCAGTAGGACCTTGCTGTTTAACCATCCTATATATAATAGTTTGCATGATACTTGTTTAATTTTAAAAATATGTTTTCAACAACACAGTATCTCATTCTCAAAATCTCCATTTTATTTTACAACATTGGTCACTGTGAATAGGCTATTATAACTTTATCTTCATAAACTAATGCAAACAATCTCACTCTTACAATTCACAGATATTTATATCATCCAACTCCAACAGATTTAGAAAATTCTTAAATATAAAGTTTTAACATCTCTGAATCTTTTTATAGTCCAATCTATCTAACCCATCTGATTTCTAAGAGGCTAAGAAGCCTTCTCTTTCCTCCTTTTTATAGTCCAATCTATCTAACCCATCTGATTTCTAAGAGGCTAAGAAGCCTTAGCCTCTTTCCTCAAACTAAGATAAATCCTACTGACACTCTTTCACATGGCCTTTTATCTTGCAATACTTACTCTCTTAATATTACCCTTCATTTTTATCTCCATCTTCTCAGTTCTTCTAATCTAGATTACATTACACAATTATATTGTGCTTACATGAAGCCTTTTATAACAAATTATGAGCTACAAATAAAGCCTGAAAAATTAATTACATACAATCCTTCTTAAACATCTTGTCCAAAATGCCATGCTCTTTGCCACTGTACTCCATATACTTGATAGACTAAAATGACCTAAATGTAAAATGATCTATCTTACAGACAGATGCTATAGCACCTAATGGTGGTCCATATCTCCAGTGCATGGTCAATAACTATTTCTTGATAAAGAGTAAGAACTAACCTGTATAATTTTTAATGAAAATTATAAAGTATTTATCTATTTGTTTAATTTTACTTCTCTGCATATTTTCTGCCTTCTTTTGTTAACAGCATCCAGATATTGCTTTGGATAACCATACCTCCTTCATTGTTAGTCTAACTGGTTTGGGTAGAACTGACCCAATCCCCCAAGGTATATCGATAGACACATTACCCAGCTCTGGCCAATGAGGGCACTTTATTTTGCTTTGCTGTATGTTCATGTGTGGTAAATGTTTCATGCAAACCCAATGAAAGTCTTGTCCAAGAATGTTACTATAACCAAAAAAAAAAAAGTTTTTTTTTTGTTGTTGACTAGAATATTAATGTTTCTCCCTATGAGGGGGTTCTTGCTGATAATAATACCAACACAAATGAAATAACTAAAGGTTGAAAATACATCTTGTACACTTTGACTAATAATCTAAATGCTGTTACACTTGAAGCTAGGTAAACTCACATTTCAGTTACTAAAATAAATTCTCCTTTATCTAGTATTTCAATCACTTGCAATCAAAAGAGTCCCAACAAATTAAAAAAATGTTTAGATAAGAAAAGGATACATTTACCTAAGTAGGCACTTCTAAAGAAAAATATCTGAGGTAACACAATTATATTTTATAAGCAATTTACCTAGGCATCGTCACAGTGTCAGTTTAGTGAAATAAGGATGATTTTGGTAATTTTGAACCTAAAATGACAGTAGACTACCACAAAAAGGAAGGCACTTAGAAAAGTGACACTAAGGTTAGTTTTGATGGATTATGAATAGATATATTTTTCTATGATATCTTAGATTATAAACAGACATTAAGACTAATTGTTTGCAACACTGGCTAGTGGATGACCTTGGTGATTGTGAAATCATTAAACCTGGAAAGGGTTAAAATTAAAGAGTTATGGAAACACAGTAGGATCCTCACCTTGGTACTCCTACCCTTGTGTATATCCTCTTGTAGGAGGGGCACTGTGACTTGTTTCTAACCGACAGAATACAGCAAACAAGATGGGATGTCACTTCAGTGACTATGTTATATTAGATTATAACTTGTAACTTCTTGCTAGCAGACTCTGACTACTTCCCTTGGTAGATTTAATGAAGTGAGTAGAGATGTGGAATGGTGAGTTCTGACCAACAATCAGCAAGCAACTAAGGCCCTCAGTTAAACATCCCACATGGAACTGAATCCTAGCAACAACCACATGAGCTTGGAGGTAGACCCTTCTCTAGTCAAGCCTCAAGCGAGATTCTAGCCCTGGCCAACATCTTGACTAAAACCTGTGTGAGACCATGAAACAGAGGACACAGCCAACAATTTCCCAGCCTACAGAAACTTCAAGATAATAAGTGTGTTGTTTTAACTCATCACATTTGCAGTAGTATTATTATGGTGCAACAGACAACTAATACACATGGCTTGGATATTAGAGCAATGAACTGTTAACGACAGATCAAATTTCATACAACTTAAATTTGATATAAGAAAACATATGTTAGTCATATTCTGTGATGATTTTCATATACTAAATTTCTTTTTGTGGAAATAGAAGCTGTTTAAATTGTTTACTCACCTATCTTGTTACTATGTGAGATAAGAGCTAAATTTTATACTTTCCATAATTATTTCATAATGAACTCTTGATCCTTATAAAGTATAGAAATATAAAGTTTTCAGTTAATATGCCTTCAGCTTTAACATTATAAAAATGCCATCTTTCATTTCAAACTTTAAAAATAAAATATTTTATGCATATTTTCATACAATCAGGATGAAAATGATTAATACTGGAAAAAGCAACTGACATAGTTTAAGAAGGAATTCAAATCCTACGCCCACCACTAAAAACATTTAAACTTCTATTTGTTAGTAACTGTTTAAAACAGATTTACTTCTAGACAAAATATCTCCTCATTAACCTTTGTCTTAATTGTTCCAACACACTTCTTTCTACCAGAATCAAAACATACTATAAAAATGCAATTTTCTGGGCTTCCCTGGTGGCGCAGTGGTTGAGAGTCCGCCTGCCGATGCAGGGGAAATAACATTTATTAAGCACCATATATAGGGCACCGTGATAGGTGCTTTCAAATCCTTCAAGCTAAGTATAGCTATAGTATCATTTCCTTTCTAATCGGTGAGGAAACTAGGACTAATAAAAAGGTTACGCAATTTGGTATAGCTCGTACAGCTGGTAGATGATCAAAACCTGCTAAGCTCAGACTTGGTGTTGACTTGACACATACATGTGATGGATGTGCCTATTTTTTGGCTTAATTAAGGGGAAAGTCTCCAACATCATAATATCTTCCCTACTGGTCCCATGGAGTCCCACAGATGCAGCTATGTTCTTTAAAATCTTGAGGATTTTTTAAAAGTATTTCTGATCTAAATTCACTCAAGGTATAGGGCAACTTAAATGGTTCCCAGGCATTTATTTGAAAAGGAAGCATTTCTGAATGAGCTCTACCAGGAAGCCAAGAATGAGTCCCCATAGGATTGGGGGTATCTCAGGGGAGGGGGTGACTCCTCTGGGTTATGGGGCTGCTGAGGGGGCCATACCACTACAATACATTTTTTTCTACACTTTGTTTTGGCTGCCTACTCTGATTCACTCTTCATATGACGATTTTGTATTATTTACTCTAGAGAGAATAGAAAGATAATTGTCTTCCCTTTAACAAGATTGATCAAAATTTGATAGTTTATTAGTGATAGGTTAGAAAAGTTCTTTTAAGCTTCAAAACTTAATACTGTAAATGCCTTATCTGTGACTTTCCACTGCAGTTACATTCCAAAAACAGAAGTGCTCCAAGGAAAAAGCAAGGTTCTGAAAACAAGCTTTCTATTTCATACTGTGGCCAGGGCCAACTAGAGGCGGATTCACAGCATAGCTGGAGAAGCTGAAAACTCAAGGTCTTTTCCAAGGCTCTTGCCCACAGGAGAAAGTAGTCAACTGAGCTAGGAGACAAAGAACACTGCTTCAGCCTTGGGGCATCACTGCCCTTGCCTGCGGTAGTCCTGGGGCTGCTGGTTGGGCTGGCGGGCTGAGCACAACCTCTCCATCTGCCTGGCCCCTAATGACAGCTCCTTCCAGCAGGCCACCTTGAGCAGCCAGACCCATCTCTTCCTTCAGTGAGAAAGTATTCAAACCAGGCACAGCTCATTACCACTTTGATCTGGGCTTCATGGCCACCTGGTGTCCTGACCCCTTTCTCCAGGTCAGGCCTGGAGAGGAAGAAGAAAGTGAGGACTGAGGGTAGTAGAGAGGCTACAGTCTCCAAAAGCTACAGCCTCAGGTAAGAATGACCTCTCAGGCAAAAGAACTGATAAGGACTTTACGGATATAGCATTGCCAATAAAAGGCTGAAGCAAAAAAAAAAAAAAAAAAAAAAAAAAAAAAAAATGCAATTTTCTCCTGGCTAGAATTAAATCAACCTTTATGATAACGAGCATTAGATTACAAAATTTCAACTCTTTT